CCGGTACTTTGGATGCTCCGTAACTTAGGTGTAAGTTCCCTCCGCCGGCGTCCGAATGCGACTGCGCTCCTTGTGCTTGGACGTGTAAAGGCATTGCATAATTTTGGCGTAGCTCTCGGACGAGTTTTTGTTCCCGTGGCTGCAATAATTATTGTGGCTAATGTTACCGGAGCTCATGATGTTACCGGGGTTGGTAGGATTAGGAGGGCACCTCTCGCCTTGAATATCCCTTCCTGCCACGGAGCTAGAGGGATAGCAATCGTGATTGGTAGATGGAAGCGAAAAAAAATATATAACAAAGTTCCAAGAGGTTACCTTTGAATTGAGGAACGGCCCTCAATAGCAATTTTTGTACCAAATACCCAGCTTTTTAACCTCTCCCTAAATGTCAGAAACTTGTGATTTGTTGATGTAGCAATTGAATGTGCTCCTTAGTGCTCGTAAAGGTAATTTCCAGCCAGGGGAGGAATAATGGAAGAAGCAAGACCATCGGGTATCGCGGGGACTATATTTCCCCCAAGAGCGCCAAAGAGTCGAGGCAAACTATGCAGTTCAGTTAGCCCAGCGCGATTCAATCATTCACGTTATATAGGCACCTCCCAAGCGGCGGCCCGCAGGAAACCTTCACTTCATCAGCACGAGTGGATACCGTATGACCTCAAAACCGCCAATTCATATTCTCACCTACCCTGTGGCGCCCGGGCACACATCCGGGGGATAGCTTTCAAATTCGTACTCAATGAAACCCGACTGCAGTCGGTCTGCGGCCCCAATGGTTAGACACCCCACAAGCCTCGCCTTGAGTGTTGGAATTATGGCCAATCGAAAACAGACGTCAATGACCGCCGCGGAGGTTCCACGGAGCCGGAGGGAGTGAAGAAAGAAAGGACAGCGGAGATCTAATGTTTGTATGGAGTGGATTAAAAAGGAGCAAGAAAAGAGGGGAGATGTGTATTAATCGTGAGGAAAGGAGCGAGCAGAAGCACATGGATTGACTGCCGGCACCTATTATCACATACTGAACTCACTCTTTGGGGATGCAAAAAGGTAAGGCCGACCCTTCCCTTTAAGGGCATATCGGCCTCTGGTGGGATGTGAGGTTGGTTTGGCGATCCGGTGGCCAAACGCGCGGGTCCGCCTACACTACTCTTCGGCCCCGGTAGGTAGCGCCCAGGCATAGCACTCGAGCAAGCTCCGGTTAACACTCCTAATTTCTGGCATCCGAGCTACCGGAATGTATCGCAATTGTTGAAAAATACCACGATGGGAAACAACATATCATGTTTTCTCGCCAAACTCGCCACGTAGCCAAGGGAATATCCGCGGAAGAGTGGATCCGCTGCCCACATTGGCGCAACACACCTCGTCAAAGATGAACCCCAAATGCAGCTTCAGCGGTGCCGTCGGATATGGAGTTACAAGTGTGAAGTACAGGGGTTTAGGGGTTTAGGGGTTTAGGGGGACTGGTGATTGGAGACTGGGGAGAGGTACCGGGGGTCGCGGGAACTTCTACTCCTAGCACTATTGCCGAAAGGCAGAATACGAATAGCCTCGGGGGGTTCATTCATAGTGAAGGGTAGAACAAAATTCACCCTTCTTCCACTCTCCGCACGCGGGACGTATAGGGTATCCACAATGGGGCACTGATTTCCCCGACCGCCCCAGTGTGGATATGCATGTTCATGCACTTCTTTCTCTATTAGCCGTATAGCGGGCTTGGCCGGTTTATAGGCTATACAATGCGAGGAATAGTGCACCATCATACGAGCCCACTCCCCCACTCCTGGAGACGGGTCCCTCCATTAGCGACGAGGTTTTCTCCTCCTGCCGTCGAGTGGCAATAACCAGAGTCCGGGGGATACTCGGCATCTGTAATCCTGAGGTAGCCAATCCCGACAACTCTCAGCTATTGAAGCCTTTGCATTCTGTACGGTACCTAATACCGCAATACAACGAGTGTCAGAGGTTTCCTGTATTCTCATGGAGTGTGAGCATATCCTATACATGCAAAACTTATCTTGCACGAAATACCCCTTTTCTCCCCGGACAGCCCCTCATTGGCACGGTGGGCCTATGGACCACTCAGTGGGTGGTATTTTGCCCCAGAAGCCGAAGAGAGTTCGATACATTTTTTCCCTTCTGCCACAAGTCCAATACACTAGATAGAGCGCCCAGACAACTTACCCACTTTATGGTCCGGTCCTTTCGAGAACCAAACCACACCCCTGAATAGCAACGGAATCTAGCAAGAACCCCAACATCACCCTATCACCAGCGCGGGAAAGAGTTAGAAGGCAAAGCAAGAAGCCCCGGTATCTAGGAGCAATCCTCCCAGGCAAGAAGTCGCAAAACATCCGCCCGTATCACAAACCCACCACTCGTATTTCCGGACACACCTTGCCTGGGACTGGTATACCGGGAACCATGCAGATGCTCGCCGCCTTACTACTAGCCACAATACTCTCTTGCATCCTGATATGGCAATGAGGCCAACATAATCTCACTCCAAGTGCTCATGCAGAAGGGCAGTGAGATCTTCTAACGTGCCCCCGCCCTGAATTCCCCCTTCAGCTCTGGAAAATGGCTGACTTCTCATTGCTTTCTCTTAGTTTTTGTATTACTATTATTTTTTCTTTAGCCCATTATACCGCGGCCGGGCAGTAGCTTCCGAATTCCTCAAGTACCAAGCCGACGCCAGGTGCCAAGAAGCATCTCCTAGACTAGTGAGGAACAAGATTTAGGTATTGATGAGCAGAATGTGAGTGATAAACCATGATTCCTGTCATATCTATCCATCACAGAAGGTATTTTACCAAGCCACCCACCCAGATAACCTGCTATACTACCGTACTCGACTCTAGCGTGTTTACTGATTTTATTCCCGTGATTTTAGAACGATTGAACGGCTAGTGGGGTTTTCTTTGCGATTACGGTGGAGATGGAGTCAAGGGTTAACTTAAGGCCTACCTTGGCGTCGTTTTCTGTCACCGAGACACTGCGATGCAAGCCAAATTCGCTCCCCTTCTACAAGTACCCCCTCTCCACTCTCGCACGAATAGCCAGTTCTCCACCCGATTACTTCTCTCGTAGCGGGTAAAGGCAGGCGTGATGCGAAAAAAAAGAGAAATGTTTTGTCTTCTTTCCCGTCAAGCCCGGGGATTGATTTAGCGGAGGTGCAAAACTAGGGCTCATCCGTCGCACTCTAGCTGGGTTATGGCATAAAAAGCCGTAAAATTGGTGGTGATATCATAAGTATTATGGTACTGTACAAGTATGATAATGCACTTGCGCCACATATACCCTTTATTATGGTACGAAAATGATGGGTGGTTACGCTACTTCGATCAAACTCTACTCGAGGACAAAACCAACATTCCTAATATATAGCAGTACTGGCGATAGGCTCTCTGGATATATGCCGCATGAAAACCCAGAGTCCTATAGGTCAACCGAGACCGCCCAGTCACTGCTGCCACCGGCCCCGCCCCCTGGTATAGTACTTGTACACTGACCTCTACCTGTCCAGAACGTATCTCCACCTCATCATTATCATCCTCCTGTAGCGATCGGGTAGCGATCACTTAGGCGTTTGTGGTGGGAGCATGTTCGAGCATACAGAGCTTGCAATCGGAATACCGGTAACCCCTCATTGACCCTCGATGGCTTTGACTAGCGGGGTTGTTGACAGCCCCTTTCGCCTTATTCACCCCCACCCTCACCCTTGCCATCTTAAGGCCAGCAGCCTTCTCCTTTCCCCCTCAGCTGACTCGTAGAGTCCGAAGGAGGTGAGGTCGTCGAGGAATGTTGGTTGCAGTCGTCAACCGGTACCTAATCTAATTTTCTGGCGCTTCCCGTCACCCTTGCTTTTACCGAGAATGGTATGGGCAGAGAGAAATAGGAGGGGAACGAGCTACTTGTATCATGCCTTTCCCCCATTCATGCACTGCGCAGAGATTCCTATCGCTACCAGCAAAGTTCTCCCGGCCGTAGGAACGACAGGCTATGCTTAGTGCGCATTTTCTAATTGATATATTCTTTCATTGACATGTTTTCCTCCCCGGGCTCATTGCTGGACCCTCAGTCGCTTCTTTGCCCAAAGGAGAAGATCCAGGCTTAACCCCGACGTCTTTTCTAATACGGTAGCTGACACGGGATATTTCAATGCTGTTGAGCTCTAAGCGAAGGCAGCGAATTTGGATACAAGTAAGTTGATGCATCCGCGTGTGTAGTAAACGACTCTGCCCCCCATGAAGTCTGTTCTCGAGTGCCGGTATGGTTACAATGCCGATTTAGGGACTTCTCAACTCTAACTTCCATTCCGATCGCAGATGAGATTAATGGGTTACTTACCCCATAAGGCACTGTACCGTACCATACTGGTAAATACGACATGAATGCCCTGCGACCATTTGCGAGCATTATCATGATCATTATTCCCGATCGCTCGACTACAGCTCGCGCGTAGCACCCTATAATAAATTAGCTTCGTTACGGGTACCCAAAAATGGGACTTTCGCAGCGTTTCTTTTTCCCCTCTCCTTCCTCCCATATTCCCCGGTGGCATGATCGAAGCCATGGACGCTGGAAGAATTGGATGCAGGAGGCCGTTTTCAAATTGTCCATCATCTGTCGGTGGGCCTTAAATTCAGTTGTGTGTGTGTGTGGGTGTGTGCGGTTGTTTTAAGGCCCCAACTAAATTTATCCTGCCAGGAAACCCGCGCTCTACACACCTGTGGGTTGTGCTATGATACCATATCGGGGGCTCATTGATCGCCCTCGGATAGAGCCGGGATTGCCCCCGGCTATGCAAAGTGAACCCGGAATTTAATCATGGAGCTATCGGGGGGAGGGAAGAACTTCCGTCCAAGTGCCACTGCTCCGGACCAATTCTTCGATTTGGTTAGACTTATCGAGAAGGTTTCTCTCGGGATAACTGCTCTAGGAGAGTTTTCTAAAGATATACGAGTAGCGGGGAGGTGAAGCACCGTCTCAAGTTACCCGCTAAGAGCTGCAACAGAATTCGATTTTCCAATGCCCGCTATTTTCTATCATTCGGAGGAGAGTGCGGATCCTATTTCGTCGCCGCCTCAAGCTCAACGCCATCGGGGTTTTCGAGCCAAAAGCACTTAGTGAGCGACATTGATAGAGAGGCCTGATGCAATTACATAAGGTAATCCTAGCACAACCACATCGGGGGGCCTGAAACTTTATGGAGCCAATGATGTCGCGAGTCAAGTTTGCCCGGGAGGGGCACAAATAACTAGCCTTCCCCCATTCCTAACCCTCCTGGAACTGCGCGAAATAATTCACACGTTCCTCTCACCGCAAAATGGGGAAATACGCTCGCCGCAGACGAGGCACGATGTTTGAATTCGAAAAGCCTACCGTGGGAGATGAATGGTTCTATTTCTTCAAGAGGGCGGAGGTAATCCTGCAGAATGCCGAAGCCCAGAAGGGCAAGAAGCCCCGTAATAGGCCTTCACGGTCGCAGTATCTCTTCGGCCATAGTTTGTTTCACAATGATACCAAGGAGGGGTTGAAAACCGAAGGGCGGTTTGACGAGAAGCTCGGGCTTGCGAGCACCATAACTTACAACGAGCACCCGCCTTGCACCGTCCCGTTTTCCACCCTCGAGAAGATACTCCTGGACGATTTAAGGCTTGAAATTGCGCATCGGGGGAGCTATATAATACTTAGGGCGATCGTCGATCCGAACAAGTACGTTTCCTTGACGATAATTGCTGAAGACGAGAGCGGAGATGTGCAGTTGGTGCAGATATACAATCAGGATGATCGCAGATCTCAAGTCAGCATTATGCCCGAGGGGCAGGTCTTCATTGTCAAGGAGCCATATTTCAAGACGACCTCCAGCGGCGAAACGAGCATCCGCGTTGATCACGTCTCCGACATCATCTTCTTGGACGGTGAAGATGATAGGATTCCGGAGGAGTGGCGGCCAAAACTCAAGCTGTTGGCGAGGAGATCCTTAGATTGGAAGAATGACGGGAATAGGTTTTATAAAGAGGAACGGTATTTTGAAGCCGCTAAATGGTAGGTGCTAAATCGTGAAAGCCATAAGGTTCATTTCCCAAGAGTGGCTATTGAGCACACCCCTACCGCGGGGCTAATATATACCCCTGGCCGAGTTGGTGCTTGCCTACAGTCAGCTCTTGGCCCTCATGAGGGGCGCATCCCAACACATCTTATCAAAATTATTCAAGGATGGCTCTGCTAAAGTCTTAAAGTTACACTAAAGGCCTCGAAATCGCTGAACCCTGTTCGGCATCCGCCATTGTCCTCCTTCTTAACCGTGCCCAGACATACCTAGAACTGGGCTACAACGAGGAGGCCCTTGCAGACGCGGACAGGGCCCTCTCATACGAACCAGTGAATCAAAAGGCCCTTTATCGCAGCGCAGTTGCTTGCTACGAGGACGGTGACTACGAGTCTGCAAAAACCCGCCTTGTGAAACTACTGAAGGAGTTTCCGGAAAACAAGAGCGCGAAGGAAAGGCTCCTCCGAACATTCCAGCGTTTGCAAGAGCAACGACGGGGGAGATATGAATTCTTAAAAATGAGAAACGAAGTTAAGGCATGGGGGAACAAAAGAGGTAAGCTCGACTGCGCAGAATATGTCGGACCAGTCAGGGTTGGGGACGCGGGACCCAAGGGGAGGGGGCTATTCGCTACTCGGGACGTGAAGTTTGGGGAACTGCTGCTCTGTTCGAAGGCTTTTCACGTTTGCCACAAGGAGACTGCGGGTGCTAAGCTTAATATTCTGTTCAACCTCAAGGCCCGGAAGGGACAGGCCGGCACGCACTCACAACTTGTCCAGGAACTGATACAAGTGCTGTACCATAACCCGAAGAAAGCGAAGAAGTTCTACGAACTAGACAGCGGAGATTATAAGAGAGTTCGAGGGGGAATAGTGGATGGGTTGCCGGTCGTCGACTCGTAAGCGCTAACCAACCTGCTAAAGGGCTCCAGATTGCTAATAATTATCAGACACCTAGTGATGCGCATCATGCTGAGGAACTGTTTCGATTGTACGCGTCTTAGTTCTATCGATGATCCCCTCGAGAACCTATTCAAAGAAAAAACAGAGGTGGAAAAAAAGATCGCAGAGGAGTCACCCACTGGCACCGCCGGGGGCTCAGGGCTCTGGATAATGCCCTCGTATATCAACCACTCCTGCTGGCAAAATTCCGCCCGCGCCTTCCTCGGAGACCTCCTAATAGTTCGCGCGGTAAGGGACATCCCGGAAGGGGAGGAGATCACCCTCAATTACCTGGAGAGCGAATGCGACGTCCAAACACGCCAAAAACAGTGCTTCTCCGGATGGGGCTTCAACTGCAAATGCACCCTCTGCGAGATCGAAGCCGCCGAACCGCAGGAGCTCCAAGATAAGCGCAAAGAGCTGCTAGAGAAATCAGAAAAATTTCACCATTACCTCAATCAGTCGAAGGAGAAGATGGAATCGGGAGTGGCGCCCATGATAAAGCTGATAAAGGGCATGGAGGCAACATACACCCAGCCCGAATTCATCCATCCCCGCGTCCCGCTACTCTCGCCAACACAGGTTCTGCAGTCCTTCCTCGTGAGCTTGGAGCGCCCGCCGGAAGTTTACAACCTCGCGAAGCACGCGTTGAACGGGTTGGGCTTCAAGATCGCGATCAAGAGGGGGAGGGCGGTGATCGAGAGATATGGCTACATGTATTATCAGACCCTCATCCCGTTCATTCATGTCATCACGGCGGGCGCGATGACGGGCGATATTGGGACCGCAATGTTGTGGAAGGATATTGCGATAAAGGTCTACGAAGCGGTTGTCGGCGAGAGGGAGAGCTTTTTCGATGTTTATGGGAGGGCGCTCTTGCAGGCTGGGGTACCATGCGATTGAGTTTTTTTAGTTTTTAGTTTTTTTTTGTCTTTGCGATGCCTCCAGTATTCTTAAAGCACTACTTTTTTTTTTATTTTTTTTTACTTTTTTCCATTCTTCCACTTTTGCCTTCGGAGTGTGGTTTACCGGTATTGTTCTTTCTTAGCGTCGAGTCATACACGTTTGTTATTTCTACCGTATCGCATCCCCCTACCAGTATTCTATTCTAAAGACCGCGACTCCAAGGAGAGTAAATTCAAATTACCGATTGTTTTTTTTAATCTCTCAGTCTGCCGTGTTAGAAATTCCCTACACTGACCCACTTTTTTTTTATACCGTGGTTCGCAGGGCATTTTTTTTAGGGAGGAGGTCCAGACACATTCATATGCACTCACTCGAACCTGGACCATTATTCACTGTTCGTATAAGGGTTCTTTCTCCTCTCAGATGCTTCTTTCCGATCTTTTATCTTCCTTCAAGTCTGGTCCCACTTGGACTAGCACATGTTGTTCCTTTTGTTGTTTCTGAATGGTTTCTTTGAAGATTTTTGTTTCTGAGTTCTTTACTGCGAGTATTGAGGAATCTAGGTGGTGATAGCAGAGTGGAAACACTTCGCTATGTAGCTGAACCGTATTCTCCTAGTGGTTTGAATAGCATTGGTTCCTTCTCTAATTCTAAATTACTCTTTCATTATTCTTACTTCTCCATGCAAAGCAATCGCATATTGCTACACTCCATGTTACCTCCAGAGCCCAGATCTCTCATTTCCATTGTACAACGGACATTCCCACACCACCACCAAATCGCATCGGAGAACCCCCCGATACTACCCACGCATTGCAACAAGCCAATATCGCCCAAGATATATATCCCATACTCCCCTCCCCTCCACTCCCCTTCCCCGCATCTATGTGCTTGCTAGACACATTTACAATAACTCCGCACAGCACCCATCCCAATCTCTCTAGAAAGTTCAAAACGCAACGCACGCCAAATTATTAGGTCGGATGACACGGCACCCTGGAGGAGTTGGGGTTATCCGCACGTCATGCCATAAGTGGCATGATGGGTAAATCTAATTAACCACAGATCTCTGCCGACCACGACCCGCCGTGGCGCATTACAGCACTGCCGGGATCCGCAGGGTTATCATGATGTGGGTTCTCCATTTCTCGAGGCCACGCTGAGTAAGCACGATCGATCTGATAAATGTCCCAAGTGAATCTGATAGCCTTATGCGCGAGTACCGTAGAACAGGTTTGTGAAAATCAGGGCTTGAAATGGAGGCGTTTGGGGGGGGGGAAGTTGGTTGGGCGCGCATGGAAGTCGTGGAGGTATGATAGACTATCTGATATCGCCTTGTCAGTGGGAGTCGTACTAGGGTCAGGGCCAGGGTGTTGTAGTATGAAGAGTGGGGTGGGGGGAACAAAGGCTTGGTGATAATACCGCAGACATAACTACTGCACAACGCTCGTACGATACATAAATCGTGTTTGAAGGGCATTAAAAAAGGATTACCCGCACCAAGCAAGTTGCATGTCATGTAATACCTTACGGTTTCCGGTAGTCTTGGGATTAATGAACGGTAGGGCGCAGGCGCGTTCGTGAAGTTCTCTCTCATACATACCCCCTTGGTGGTACGGTACCGGTACTATACAAGTCCAAGTACCGGTACCTCAAGATCTAGCAAGCCCCCTCCCCACCCACCGCTTGAGACTTCGAGTGTCGGAGTTTTTGCTCCCGTAGGTTTTTTGGCTCGTGGTAATTTGACGTTTTGATCACGGTACGGTACTCGAGTAGTGTTTTTTTTTTCGTCCACTTGGGCGATCCGCGGGCAAAGCCTCAATCTCCGCCTCCCCCTTTTCTTTTTCTCTCCACTCGCATGTGTTTCCCTGCCTTTATCCCCGATATTTCCGCTGTTAGAGGGGGCGGTAGGGGTCATCTTCCAGTGAGTGAGCGTGACAAAAGGTGTAACGGTGGGTTTTGCAGGCATACGGCAGTGGTGACTGTGTTTGGTAATTTGAGGAAGGGTAGAGTTTTGTTGGGGGAGAGTATGAGTACGGTACTCGGGTACCGTACTGCAGGAAGACGTGGGATTTACCAAGGGGTTGAAAACAGGTGCCCTTGGTTGAGAGCTTGTGAGCTACCAGGGGTGGTGGATGGATGTCACCATCTTGGCACGGTTAGGGGAAATCTGATTAGATGAGGAACCCGTATCAGATGATCAGATCGCACAAATTGGTAGGCCAACAGGACAAAATACGAGTACAGTACACAACAGGTATCAACTAACTAAAAAAAAGAACAGCTAGAGCCTCTTAGATAACTATTTTCGATTATCCCTTCAGGGGTATACCGGTAGCACTCGAGTACATTTTAATCACAATTTGTTTTACTAAGAAAGAGAGGGCTAGCGTAGCGTTTCTAAACGCTAGGGATGTGTACTCGTACTGTACCTGAGGGGTAGAGAATGAGACGTTCTCCTTGCTTTACTCGTGCTGTCCTCCAAAAAAAAAACGGTTCCAGGCCCAAAACCCAACCGTACTAGAATAGTTTGTTTCTTGCTTGGGGAGAGCGGGCCGCGCCGCCCGCCAAGAATGCGGCGATCGGGGGGGGGGAGCGGAGGGATCCGGGGAGAGAGCAAGAGAATAGGAAAGGGAGTTTACAGGTAAAACATCCGAACAGAACGGACAAGAGAGATACGCCTATGGGAGCAAGCGCCGACGCTCAAGGTCTCGAGTGGAAGAACCTTGCTAGTCTACGGTACTGCGCAATACTTGTGCCATAATTCACCCCTCGTGTTACTAAATCCAACCAACCACCACGCTCGGCAAACCGACCGAGTAAAACCCGAATTTCATAGAAGGAAGGTACCTCCTAAGAGCATGACCTCTGCTATCTCGTCGAAGGCGCTTGAATGCTGGTACCGGTACTCGAGGGATGTTGCAGAAGCGATAGGGGGGAAGTGTGTGACCACCGTGCCACAGTGGCTTGGGTGCAGATATTGAACCTATCACTCGCGTATCATGGATCCGAAACACTGTGGCCTGGTTGGGTGCTTTCTGCCAATAGAAAAGGAGAAATCAAAGTCGGGGAGTTACATGTTCTCCATCCACCGCCTCTGGCTCCATACCAGTTCGAATATGGCTGCTGCACGTTGGTTACTCCAGATCCGCGCAGAGGTGCTGCACTGGTACTGCGCGAAACCGAGCTTCCTCATGCTCAAGGAGGTATGCTTGACGGAAGGAACTGCGATTGGTTGTGGAGAGTTTATGGGTCATTCGATCCTCCCCGCACCGTACGAGTGCCAGTACAAGTACGGTACCCACACATGGTTACCGAGTTGATGTTTCCACTTCCGCATTTTCGTTAGCGAGAACCTTAAAGAAAAGAGGAGGGAGGGGACAGAGGTAAGAGTATGTTACTAGTTCAGCGAAAATTTTAAACAAGCGGAATTGAAAACAAGAATGATACAAGCGGGGCGGTAGGCTAGACGACCTTTTACGCGGATTTCGCTTAAAGTGTAGCGCCAAAGCGCCCCTGTTCACTACAAGTTGACAGGCTGTCCGGGGGGATGTACTGTACCCCGGGGTTATGTTTAAGGACGATTGTATGGTAGAGTGATATTAATACAGCCCAACATATCTGGTCTTGGTACTCGAGTACAACAGTTCCAACATTACCCCTATAGAGTAGGAGTCCTACTACCGTATTGCTAGGGTTGGCGCCAGACGTTTTGGGGGTCGGATCCTAGCACAAGTACTAGTACTAGTACTTGTAGTCTGCCTCTCGTGATGGGCGTCTTGGTATATCCTCCCCCCCCCCCGCCACGATATTAATCCATAAATGCCATTGGATTGAGATGAGGTGCCGGTATTACGGCTGCGTTTCGGGCTCTACGGAAGCACTCGAGTACCGGTTCAGTAGAAGGGGGGCAGAGGAGTAGTTGGCGACCGGAACCGGGAGGGTCCGGATCTCGTGCAGATAATGGCTGCTCGAATTGATATACCGGTACTTGTACAAGTACCCGAGTACGCCCCGGTTTCGGGTGCTTTCTTTTTTTCTTTTCGCATGAATCTTTGGTCTGACGCGCATGGAGGGGGGGCCAAGGGGTTGCCGGGTTGAGGATGAGGGTGAAGCGCTCTGGGGTGCCTTTTGGAGTTCTTGAGTGTTATTTTGAGTGACCGGAGTACTCGCAGAGGGTGGTAATCACTATGGTGCAGAACGATACAAAGTGGGTCCTCAAAACAGGCCAAACCTGATCTTGAACTAGTTAATCATAAAAGCAAATTTTGAGAAATTAAACCATAGAGATGAAGTCACTTGAAAGGAGAGGAGGCCCATGGTTTTTTTTCTTTTAATAAGGATTGCATGCAAAAGTAGTAAAACAGGGGATAGAATCTACCCAGTAGCAGACTAAAAAATACTGTAGAGTAGGAATGATCAAAACATAGCAACAATCAATGACAAGCATAATAGCTACAGAAAATAAAATAACAAACTCAATTCCAATTTATAGTTAATACAAATATGCAATATAGAAGGATTGTAAATCTATTCTGCTCCATCCCCTATTTCTCTGTTTCCCTTGACATACCATTCATCTTAGTCATCATGTCTTGGCCATTCTTGGCCCAAACCCAATCGGTTCTGCTTGGCTGCCACAGGATTGCCATTTCACCTGATGACACATCTTTAGGCACTTTGGACCATACCAGTTGGTCGGGGGCATCGGTATCCCGATATCAGCAGAATCCAAAGGGATGAACTCCGAGTTCTGCCACTGGGTCCCGAGACTAACGAGGAATGTTCCGGCATATAACGCGTGAAATGTACCGTATGATACTCGAGGTGCGGGTATCAGAATGGGACGAAAGGGATCTTCCTGGAAGTATATGAACCTTAAGGTCTGGCTATTTAGTTTATGCTTGTTTAGAGCTAGCACTACCACGGGATCTTATCTGATTTTCGCTTACGGTACTCGAGTAGCTCTGGTGTTATTGAGACAGCTGTCCCATGACATATTGTACCCTGCAATCCACCTTGTCACCGCACAATGCAGTATTGCGCTTGCAAAGCCCTCCATGTATGAGTGGTGTATGATACGAGTAAGTTCCCGTCGGTATCGTAACCACTTTCAATTCTATGCCACCTACTTATCCTCGCATTAACCCTTCCCCCCCCCCCCCGAACCCATGACACAAGGAATCAGCCATTTTTGACTGGGGTTTGTGGGGCGGTACAACATACTGGACTAAGCTCAAATCTAGGTTAAAGATCCATCTCGTGGGGGACTTGACGGTTTCCGATATGTGGGACTTTCCGAATCTTTCCCGTTGAGAATGTTCCCCAAGCGCCATTTCACGACGGTTCGATCGTTACAGATATAGACTTTCGTCTAAAATACCAGACCTTAGCAGCTCTCAGACACGAATGGGGTCCGCGAGGTCTCTTCTGTGGTTACGAGTACGCTTTCAGTCTTGTTTTCACCGAGTTATCGCCCCTTGTTCGGATTCCGGCAGTCGAGAATGACCCGGCACAAGGACTGTACCACTATCCCCTGATTTGGCTAATAGGGTGTTGGAGTCCGAGACTGCCAGGTACCGTATTGTCCCTGGAAATTTGCACGGCGTGACAATGGGTACCGGTACTCGTACGGTACTCCTCCAGATGATAAGCCGTTCGAAGCTTCAGGTTTCGATGGGTGCCTTCCCCTTTGACCATTCAGCAGCCATACCCCTGGTTTCTACAGGTGGAATTCACCGTGGAAAACACTCGGGTGTCCCTGAATTTCCTTTTTTCATCCAAACTTCCCTAATCCAGACGTTCTTCTCTTCCGCGTTGGGGATGTTTCCATCAGGAAGATGATTATTTGTCGGTACCGCTCTGGCAGGACCTGTAGATGACTCAGGAGAAGGCACAATTAGTTGCGTCTTTCTCGCTCCTATCGATGAATTTGTGATCTCTCCTAACTGGCCACCGGTGCTGACAGGGTACCCTCTCTCCAAGGGATTATTTGCCAAGCATAATTTACCCTTAAACGCGCGCGCTTACTCTTTCCTTAATCTCTTTTTAAAGATTTCGGAAGCGAATCAAACCAACGGGATCATTGGCTCACCGGGTTTGTTTCCAACGATGAGGATCGCCTTAAATATTCAAACTCCATGATTTCCCACCAGTGGTGGTTTTCACGCGGCCGAAAATGGCGATGATGTTTTGAAACGGTCTCGGAGTCGGAATCGGTACGACTTTCTTTCTGATACCCAACCGGCTCTCCCGGCAGTCAGCCGACAAACCCAACACTTTTACGTTTCGCTTGTCGCAGAACATGTTGATGGTCTTGACACCGCAGTCCCCCACTCACGTCTCGGGAACCTACCACATCTGGCGCATGTTCATGCGATGCTGGTACCCTTCCTCGTCTAATTGTTTTCCTCCAAATTATTGTCTATGTATTCGGGACCCCGTAGGAAGCTTAGTTACGGGAGTGCTGATCTGACTTCGGAGCGTCACTTACCCGGTCGCAAAAGTCTTCGTCCATACCATAAACCTCTGTGATAACGCCTTCCCGACACCTTGAGCAGAGGATGGCGCACCTCTATTAATTTTTCTCGAATTTATTGTGAAAGGGATTTGTCAATTATGTGCTATACTAGTACTCGTACAGATGCGTTGTGATGGGTCGGTTGAGATAAGTTGGTTAGGAGGTCCAGGGTGGGTGGGACTTTGCAACCCCGGAAGTACTGTACCGTACACAGCCGCCCCTTCAGAATGGAAGCTGGTGTTTGATCCCTGGGAACCTGTGCTACTCGCAGACGCAGTTCCATTGTTTGAGGCTTTAATCGATCTGGAAGAGGAACTCGCATTCTGAGACTCGCTCCCCCCCCCCAACAAGTATATCATCGGAGTGTCCTCGTCTCTCCCTCTCTTATGTTCACTCCTGTCGCACCCCTTTCCCCATCCTTGCGAGCTTTTGGATAGTCCAAAGAGAAGGATACTCTTCCGGGACTCTTTGCTCACCTTCATTTCGCCCTTGTTGGCCCATCATTCTCTTCGTTTCTTATGTTTTTATCTTGAAATCAATAGTTTTCTCGAGTTAAACGCCACAGCCTGGTGTTTGGAGGCAATTTTCTTCTCTTTATCCCATATTTAACATTCTTCTCTTCCGGCAAGGTTTTATTTTTATTTAATGTATTCGGGAATGATGACCGTCTTGACGGTCCTAACTCTCTGTTTGTGCACTCGTACGCTCGCTGGCGACCATTTCGAACGACAGGCGAATGCACCGGATACAGCGGCCATAAAGGCTGATCCTTTTCAGCAAGAAGGTCTTTGCCGTCGCTGGGCCCATCAGAGTAGGGAATCTTTGTGATATGTGGCTTGAAACCCAACTTCTAACGTTTATAGGTACCATTAAGAATGGAACCTTATATATGTTTGGCGGAAACATGTTGCTCAAGAAAAATAATACGGCCCAAGGCATCCAAGAAGTCCCTAGTACGCTTCTCCACTTTTTAGGTTGTTGAATATTGTCTGATCAGGTTAATAAATTTAGATACCGAATTCCTTCAATTGGACCTCACAAAGGGCTTTCGGTTAAGCGAGAATACGGTCCCTTGGCAAAAGCCAAAGATTAACGGTGATACGGTTCCACCAGCATTCTCGTCTGGAGCAATGTATAACGGAAGGGACGACTTTGTCTTTCTATACGAAGGGCAGACACCAAAAAACATGCCGGAACAATCATCGTCGATCTGGGGTTACAGTCTCACCAACCAGACTTGGCGGATAACGGACACATGGGACCATGACGATGATAGGTTCCCAAGTAGACAATCACGGGGCGCGCCGGTTATAACTCCGGAGGGTGATATAGGGTTTTACATCGGTGGGCTCAGGGCTTATGAAAATGATACCTTCCAGGGCTGGTTCTACGGACCCGAGGAACAGCTTACAGTCCTAGACTTGGTGGCAGGGAAGAAGAATAAGGTAGGAAGATACGATGCTCCAAGAGCTTCGTCAATTTATGCTTACCCCGCGGTTAGACGGAAAGACTACCGCTAAAGCAAAAGAGGATCGGGCCGAACGTGGTTTACCTCCCGATAGGAAAGAAGGGCAGCCTAGTGTTGGTTGGCGGCACTGGAGAGTACAAAGTGCGGGTAAGTACGGAATCTGGAGCTTTGTGCGAATTTGGCTGACTCTCATAAAGCTGTCGGCACCCCCCCCAGACTCAGGCCGCAAAAAGGGGGGGGGGATTAACCCCGGCGACGTACGGGTGAACCCTATGTCACAAATGGACACTATATGGATTTACGATATTGACGGCGGGAAATGGTTTTACCAAACCGCAGTGGGGGAGATGATGCCGTGGGAGAGGAAAAACTTTTGCATGGTTGCAGCGACCGATGATTCCGGCCCTAACAAGACTCACCATATTTTCATATATGGTGGGGGCACTGACTTCAAGTCCCCAATGCTCAGTATGAATGATACGGCATTCGACGATATGTACATTCTCAGTCTGCCTGCGTTCCGCTACTACCAAGTTAAGCTTGGAGATGTAAAGCCAGAAGTACGACAACGGATGACATGCCATGTGGTTAACAACAAACAAATACTTGTTCTTGGTGGGCACAGGGTCAATTCGAGCGAGCCACCCACGGACTGTCAATGGGATGAATTAAATCTCTTTGACATGAACACGCTACAATGGGAAACCGAGTACGATCCCAATCCTCCAGGAGATTCCAAATTCGCCGCAAATGCGGAGGTCCTTGCGGCTCTCGGTGCCCAGAATCAGGAACCAGCTTTGGGCTGGGATGATGAGAATTTGAAGTACCTCTTTACCGGCATATACCCCGACGAGCAAGGACTAGAGGTAGAGAGGCAGCGGGCGAATGCGAGGTGGAGGAGATGGCACATTGGCGTCGGAGTAGCCGGCGGGGTACTTGGTATCGCTCTGATAATCGTGTTGTTTTTCCTCAGGCGACGCAGGCAGGAGAACAAGGCGTTGAAGTATGAGCTCGAGCAACTACAATTATACTTCCAATACCAGACTACCGGAGAAATATACTCCTCTGCGAGGCTCAGCAACCTGAGCGCGGATGGCGATGCCTTCGTCTCGGAGAAAGTTCGGCCAATGACTTTCAAGGAAAAGGTTAAATTCGTCTTCGGAATAAAGGCTAGCAATAGTCAAGAGGAAATACCTACGATTTTCGATGGACCTTGTAAGTTCTCCGTACTCTACAAACTCTCCCGGTGTCACCACTAACCCTCAACTCACAGCGGAAAAACGACGTACGATGCGAGTGGAGAAAATCCCATGATAGAGGGGGGAGGGAAAATGTCTGGTGGGGAGAAAAAAAAGAAAAAAGAGAAACAGTTGTACAAAGTTAGGCGTTGGCGTTGTAATTTCCTTGTCCAATATTTCCGTTATCCATAGTGAACCTGTAGGTGTCCTAGAAGCACAATAATTATGAGTTAATTCACCCTCCCCGCATTGACGGGGGAGCCAGGGTGAGATGTTGTACCACATGTGTAGGTAGCCCTTCAAACGTTGATAATCAGGGCTTAGACCAGAGAGTGTAGGGGTTATCATTGTACTCATACGACACTCCTTCTCACAGGGTGTCACTCGGTACCACCCGTTGATCCCGTGAGGGGTGTGGTTCGAACGAGACGAAGGGGCTAGGCACAAGCTTTGTACGGTACCGTACAAATTAAAAGATGGACTACGGTACCGTACGCAAGCGCCATCATTGCGCACGTGAATTTGGGGGAAAATCGATCTCCCGCGAGGCTGGTGCACGGGTTAGATTACCGGTACCGGTGGGCTGGGTGCAGTGGTCATAAATGGAGTATCATACGCATTTGTACTCGTACGGTGGAGTTCAGGGATCGCGGTTGGTTTGGTATGCCGTCCGTCGGTCACGGCCCCCCCCCCCCCCCCCACTACCGGAGGTGAGTACCGCCTATGATATGCGTTTCTAAGGAAGAGGGGAAACTGTGGCGAGTTAGATCTGCCGTGGAAGATCTGGCTCACTACTTCTTCTCACCTCTTCGCATCGGACTCTCCCCCCCGCCTGTCGATAGAAAAAAGCGTATACGGTGGTGAGGGCAGGGGGCAAGGGGGGTAGGTAGAGGTAGAAGAAGGGAATATCCGACTTTGTAGAAAGTACCAGGGAAGTTTCCCGCGAGATTCCCATCTTACCGGGAGTGGGTGCTATAGTGCTTGTAGTATCGTACTCGTACACGCAAGACTGGCAAGGAATGGGGGGGGGGGGGGTGTTGTCCAACTCCTTTGAGATCCTAGGGGCGCAAGAAAGCATACCGCACTGTACGATGCGATACTGCGCTCCTATATTCCACTGCGGGCGTAGCGAACCGGAGCAAACCATCCCGGCTAGCGTAAGCCACCTCCGATCGCAGCAGCGTACCGTACGAGTATCATCTACTGACCATCATCCGCCACGGGTAAATCCACCATCGGAGATCGGAGATCGGGTGATAAGCACGGGGGTGAAAAAAAAACGAAAAAAAAAAAACGCAATCAAGCCAAGAGATCGAGTGATGAGCAGTGACATGGAGATTACTTGACAATGCGCGGGCAGTATCATCATAACCTAGTCAGGGTTTTTTCGAAGAAACAGACTTTCGCATTGTATTTTTTTTTTGCGGAGGGTGTTATTATTGAAGTGGGTGGGTTGGGTGAAAGTTAGAGAGCGGACGTGAAAATGATCTGTCGAGCGTGAGTCGTTGGGAACTGTGAACTAGGGAATAATTGTTCGATAGCAGGAAGAAGCTCATGATTGTTCCCGATACCCTGGTGGTGGTGGTAGTGAATACGGTACCGGTAACCTATTTCGTTTGTGTCATGACCCACCCCCCCCCCCCCCGTTCATCCCCCCGTCAAGCACGACACCGCAGCGGCAGGAGGATGATGTATCATAGGCCCTAGGAAGATTTCCTGCCGGGTTGTTAGGGGCTGAGCCGTCGTTCGATTGGTGTACGGTACGGTAACCTAGAGCATCAGGCGGGGTGACAAACGGCGGTGCTGTTTGTAATTTCGGTTGCGGTATGATGGTTCGGTTTTTTTTCCTGAAAACCTCAGTAGGGGTAGCTTGTGGGCTGGTTATTTCCGGGATACAGGGTGGGGCTGAGGTTCTGCCGTATGGTGCTGTACCTAGGAAATAGATACTTGTGCGAGTATCGTAGTTATATCTGGCTGTGCAATAATTGCATTGCACGTGACGGCTTGGCTGGGGGGTTACAGGTATGATACCTGTAGTCTATGGTGGAGGGCGTCGTTAACGTATGATCGACTACTGAGCATTTCGAAATGTGGAGCTTATGTCAGCAGGGTAAGGGGTATTTCATTTCAATCTTGAATTTTCCTTTAGATTTGATCAATACTTGGGGAAATGAGATAGTATCGGGGAAATCGGATAAGCATAGGGTAAAGAATTTTCAAAAAGGAGGTTGGTATGGGGATCTGACAGTCTTATGGAGTTAATTGGAAAAAGGGGGGTCTAGTAATATTATCAATAACCGGGGTTAAACCAGGGACCTGGAATTTTAATCTTGGAATTAAAAAGATACCCTTATCCTGCTGACATAGGACATTACAGTTTGAAACGCTCAGTGATCTACATTATAGACGCCCCCACTATATTGGTGGTTTGATAGGGGCTGGGGCATACATGGGGTGAAAATCTGATGTTGAGCTGAATCCGGCGCTGTGAGGTTAGGCACATTATAGACACGCTGCGAGTCTTGGAACTTCTCGCCTGTAAGTTAACCTCAATGGGGACTTTGGTACAGTTGGGGGTAGGGTTTCGTGCTACTATAATTATTGAACTATGATACCCTTACTATCTTTGGGAGAGAGAATACAACCCTACTGCGCTACGCATTATAGTGATGCGAGAATTGGAGTAGGGGGAGAGCGGGTGGGGGCGATGATGCAAAGACGATTGGTGGAGTAGTGGTCCCCAAAGTGGAGTCCAGTATCAACTTTAGTCAATATTTCGAGCAATCTCAAGGGCATAATGGGATGGCCGTGGGGCTATGAGGTGAACATCAGTGCGCTAGGCTGCAGGGTTGGAGGGCTGGCTGTGCGGTAGAATATAGGGTAGTCAGTAATCCACAAGAGGGACTGATTGTAATTATGCCTACGCCCACCACTATGAGCAATACTGAGGAGGTTCCCTCTGCCATCTTTACTTCAGCCAGTTACACAAACGGCACGATATTTTCCCCTGTTTAAAGAGTCCAGTAGACAGGCAACAGAATCCCGTCGGTCAAAATTGATGTCGTTGGCAGGACAATGCAGTGCAAAAAAAATTGTAATTCAAGCATCTTCAATCCCACAGGCCATTGAAGTCAGCCATCAGTCAATTCCGCAATAAAAAAAGAAAAAATAGAAAACTATATGGTTCGGTCAAATTTTAGACGTTCCCAGTCTGTTTGGAATCGGAGTCGTTGATTTTGCGAGACGTGTCAGTTTGGGCTTGCGTGATCAACGGCCTAAGTTGTTCCATTTGTTGCAAGCTTGTATTTCCTGACGGGTAGGGGATGCGTAACTTTTCCGGGATACAGATATTTTAGTAATTTCCATGTGGACAATGCAGACGAAAGGCAAGAGGCAATTACTCACGCTTCCGCCGCCTCTGGTGATAGCAACAAGGAGAGCACCATCCTGCAGCCTCACCGCCCCCAACTTCCCTCCAGTATCCTAGAAAATAACCCTTCTGGCAAGCAAGGGTTTCCTACGCGGGTAACAGAGAGAAAATTGTCTCTGAGGCGGGAGATACGCTGCTCGCTTGGTATTGCCGACCTTTTCGGCCTCGTGGTGTGATTCAGATGCTTCGTCTGGTAGGCTGGTAGAGTGGTGGGTGTCGTATGCCCGAGTAAATTCTCGGATACCGAAACATAGGAGTATGGAAGGAGCGGATTATGTTCGGGGAACAGATTCCTACGGGAGGGTAGAATGGGAGATGCCAGTAACTTGTATTTGATGGTGGTTAAGTTAGAGGGTTGAAAAGGGGTACGGAAGGGAGGAGGAATACCCATTCCTCGTACAGTACGAGTGCAACCAACTGGCAAGAGCCGCCTACTTTACCTCATTACGTAATCAACTTTGCTGACTGAGCTCGAAGTATGATAGGCTTCTTGACGAGTGGCGCAAGTCTATGGTATATCATACTTGTATCGTAATAATGTTATCATTATAGGGGATCTCGTCCGATGGGGGATATCTTATTGTATGATCAGTCATAGCAAGAATTTTTTTATATACTATGATGGAGATAGATGAAGGTATAACTTCATTTCTTCGATTTCTCCTCCGAGAAGGTATCATACCCGGGCACAGTACCTGCGGTTCCTCAAGGGCTTGGGGGTGAGAACATCATCGGGGTCGGGACGGTGGTTGATTTGGACGGAAGGGATGACAAAAACAGGGTCTGATTTCCACTACCGGTACCGGTTCACTCCAGGTCCAGCAGTGGAAACCTAAGCCAACCGCGCGTAAGAAGCGGGAAAAAGGGGGGGGGCACAAGCGTTCTCAAAACTCTTGTGTATTCAAGGAAGCTGTTGTGAAATTAAGTATATATAATAATGCCTTACAAGATTTTAGTCAACTGAAGTATATATAATGCCTTACTAAATTTTAGTCAACTGAAGTATATGCCTTACTAAATTTTAGTAACTGAAGTATGATACCTTAAATTTCAAGCGCCACCAAAGTGCTCCTACTGTACAATACCGGAAACGTGAAGGATATTGATTAGCTCAAATATTTGAAACTAGTTAGCTTACGAGCAACCCTTCTCTCCCTCTGTTATCCAAGGCTGGTCTGGGATGATAATTGGTTGACAGATCGCAGTGGATGTCGAAAGTTCTCAGTGTTCCCGCTGAGGTGGTTTGCCGCCCTTGTGCAATGCCAGAGCTTCATAAGTGGCCACCCGTCGCTTTTCGGGTCCTAGGGATTCCCTCAAACTCCGAGTTAAGCCGGATTCTCATTGTATACGATCGTCCGCTATCTTTCTCCTGGAAAGGTATTTCGATAATCGATAGCGCAGATGTCGTCAGGGCACCAAACGGTCACCGACAATATCGACTCGTTCGATGTGTCGATGGACGCCATCTACGACCATAACGATATTAACTTCAATACAGAAACACAATGAAGGGTGTCAAGTTCTCCAGTGGCTATCAACGCTTGAGTCATAGTAGCCCTATCAAGGTGTGCTAAGCGACCGATTCTATGGG